TAGTAAAGTGCCTTTCAGCATATCTGCATCAACTCACTTCCCACTCGAGTGCCATTGCCCTATATCCTTTGCAACCCTGGCAATTACACTTCTTTTAATCTATGCAATCTAGCAGGGAAAAAGGGTATCAAATGATTAAGGGTATCAAATGAAAAGGGGTATTAATTGACTTAATTTGTATTTTTGATTAAAGGTGAACTTTTTTTCCCATTTGTATTTCTTACCCAGTAGATTTCTGGTTTATGTACTCTGTCCATTGGTCCACTTTTTCTTACTGATTTGTAAGACTTTTTTATGTTGTGTGGTATATACGCTACCAGTATTTTTGCATAGTTTCTCATTTGCCTTGTAACTTTGACTGTAATAATTTAAATAATTTATATAGTTAAATCAGTCTTTTCCTTTATGGTTAACTCCTTGGGGTCATATTTAGAAAGTCTTCCTCCACCTCCAAACCATGTATTCACTTATATTTTCTTCTAGCAATCCTTTTAGTACATATATACATACACACACACTAAAAAGTAAATATCCATATTCATATTTTAAATTTTAAAATCATATGCGTATTTAAATACTACAGAAATAAATAAAATAGAAAAGGAAGTCTCTTATAACTTCATTCCCTGGAGATAAGCACTGCTACGAGTTTGGTAAATATTTTTCCAGACTTCCTTTTCTATTCATAGGCACACATACATATATGTATATGTATATATATTTAATTTTTCTAACATAGAGTTGTATAAATCGCTTTGTTTTTCACTTAAAATATATCATTACATCTTCCCAATCAGACCTACCTTATTTTTGTAACTGCTGCATTACAAGTCAGTGTATGAAGATATTTACTAATTACTAATTACTCCCTTATGGAAAGAATGTTTAGGGCATTAAACTGGCACTAGAAGTGAATAGCCATCTAATGTGATTTTTTTCCTAAACAATGGTTGATACTTACTTTTAAGAGAGCCTCCTCATAGTGGGACCTGGATTCATGAAACAGAAGAAAGGCATAGTGTTGGGCTATCCGGTCGAACAGCTCACTCTGGATGTCCTTCTTTGGCTACCAGGAATGAAAACAGAGAAGGAATTACTAGGACCCCTTGTTGAAACAGCCAAGGGCTAAGAATCTTAAATATTTCTCTCATTTTTAGGAATCTTATTCTCAAGGTATTTAACCTCACATTATTTATGAAGTAATACACTAATTTGTTTTATAGGATCTATAAAACATGCACAGAGAGGGAGAGTGCTGAGGAAAGCACCCTAACTCTGGGCCAGGAGGTCCTGACTTTACTCTTGGCCCTGCCCTTGACCAACCACGTGACATGGACCAGTTCCTAAAGCTCAGGGGAGCTGCAGGACATTGTGCAATGCATATAGCACAGGGGTATGATCGAGGCCTGGATAGGGATGGGTGCTGCCAGGGCGGTCCCTGGAATTAGAGGGGCGTATAGCCCATGTTCAGGAGGCTGAGATTTGCTCCACAGAAACATAACTTAAGTAAGGGAGAGAAGCAGTCAGATTTGCATTTACCTGGTACCTCTCATGAAAGATCCACCAGAAGCTATCCAACCACAGGGCTCTTACAGAAGGAGAAGAGAGAAACTTCTCTAATTCTCTACCTGAACAGAAAGACTTAAAAAGAAACAAAATTCACATCATTATTATTGCTATTGTTATTGTTTACTTATTCTTTAAAATTTACCTGGAGCCACAGCCAGATTCATAATCATCTCCACTCAAAATCTGCCCTTCCTCCCATGTTCCATGGCTTGTTATTGTTACCAACCACACACCCTCCCCACCAGACATCTTAGGTGTCAACATACTTTGGAGTCAACTTAAAGAAAAAAACCTAACCTTTTAGTGACTGCTGACTATTTACCTTGCCAGGTATTTTTACATATTCTCATTTAACTTCTACAATAATCATGCAAGGTATATGTTATTATCTCCACTTCACAGATGAGGAAACCGAGGACTAAACTGCTGAAGTCACTTGCCCAAAGTAATAGAGCCAGCAAGTGGCAGAGCCAGGGTCAGAACCCATAGCTCTTGGCAGCTGCTCCAGGCTCTCACCTACATTCAACCAATAATAATCGACATCTACAAACAGAGATATTATACAAATGCCAAATTACTGGACCATGAAATTCTGCTGAGTTAGTAGTAAGCATACGGAATTCTCAAATTAGAATAGAATTATCAGTGAACTCAGAGAGGCAGAAAATTCAGGCTTCATTGCCCTACACCTGAGTCTTGTACGTTGTCTGAACTCCAAAGCTACTACGTAATATGTAACATTTGTTGAATGCTTGCCACGTACCTGGAACTGGGCTAAGCTGTTCATTCCTTATCTCACTTTATTTTTCACCATCTATGTGATAGGTGCTGCAAGATGAAATTCTTATTCCCAGTTTATAAGAGAGGGGAGTGAGGATCGAAAGGTTAGGATTCTTGCCTAAGTTTACACAGCCCGGGAGGCTCAAAAGCAGGCAGCCTGGTCCCAGAGACACCGCACAGGCTGCCTCTTCTCCCACCACTAGGAAGAGCAGAGACCTCTCTTGCTCTCACCCTAGATGCAAAAGGAAGGATTCCTTGGCGCTCCCTTCAAGCCTACAGACACTGAGGGCACAGTGCATCGATAAGCAAGTGACCCTTGTTAACAAGAAGCTCTCTGAGTCCTGCTCTTGGCTTTGTTTTTTTCACCTTTCCTCATATTTCCTTAGAGAGGCAGTAGGGTCAGGCAGGTGAACAGCACAGACTTGTGTTACCACATTGCCTGGATTCTAATTCAGCTTTCGCACTTATTAGCTGCGTGACCCTGAGCAATGTTATTGCACCCGGCTGTGCTCAGTTTCCTCATCTGGGAAATGGAGCTGACGAGGCGCATCCTCCTCTCTCCACACCCCCTCACAAACATCCCCCAGCTTCTGAGTGGCCACCGTTGTCTCACATACGCACAGGTTCTTCTGAGCCTTAGAATCCACTCTCCCTCCCTCCCTCCCTCTCCCTCCCTTCTTTCCTTCCTTTTTCCCTTCCTTGTTTTGGAATCCAGTGTGCACTACTCTCCAGGTGGATAACTCACCCCAAGGGGTACCGTGGGGCATAGGAAGAAAATATTCTAACTAACGTGTCTTTAAGAAAAAAAAGAAATTAAATTCACCAATATACAACACAGTGACTGACAACAGAACATGTATATCATTTATAAGAAACAAGCATCATGAGGGTGTGCACTCCAAATTCTGTGCTAACAGGACACATGATCAGAACAGCCAGGAGACCAGAGCTCTAAGAGAAAGGGTCTAGGTTTTACAGAGAACATGGGCCTGGGGTCTAAGCTCAGCTCCGTCACTTGCAAACCACGTGGTTCTCAGCAACTTAATTGCCCTGACTCTCGGTTTCCTGGGGTGTAAACCTGGGACAGCTGTGCCTGCTGCACGGGTGGTCATGAAGTTGGCTGGACATCAGAGGTGAGCTCTGCCTGCTTTCCTTACCTTGCCACTGAGAGTGTTTTTCTCTGCCCGGATCACATTGCCCACCATGTCACAGAAGTCTACCCCGTTCGGAAGACTGTTTGGCCTAGAGCTGTCAAACTGTGGATACTGGTACAGCTCTGCCAGCAGATTTTTATCTGCTATTTTCTGAAGCAAAAAAGAATATGAAAATGGTCTTCCTCATTTGACAGTATAAAACAATAGGATAGCTTCCCATTTTTATCATGAAGATAATATAATATTACAACCTTATAGAACATTGAAAAACAATGAGGGTACATTCAGGATCCCAGCACCCCTTACCAAACACCTATTCACATTATTTCTGCTTCCCCTTTCAGGCTTTGAACACATGTATACAAATACGTACTCCAACCATTTTATAATATACATATGCATGTACACATTTTTTGTCCTGCTTCATTAACTTAACTTCAGATTTTTCACATTGCTATACTGTCTTCAAATTTATTATTCAAAATAATATATCTTGTTAAGATGTGCTGTAATTTAACTACTCATTGATTACTTCCAATCAACATTACCTGTTAATAACTTGGAGCATATGGTTCCCACATTTAAGGTTATTTATTTAGAATGAATTTCTCAAAATGGCAATATTAGATCAAAGGATAGGACTCTCCCTATTGTTCCTAATATAGATCATAAAATGGACTTTTAGAATAAAAATAAAATGACTATAAAAATGTAAAAATACAGAAAAGTAGAAAAAGGAAACCAATTATCGCCACTCAAAGGCACCTACTGAAACACTCTGAGGGACCGAGTTACTCTCTAAGTGGGCTACAGCATTGACAATGGAAGAGCTCAGTGAGTAACTGCTTTGACTGTGGATCAGACAACCGGAGATCAGGTGTCAGCTCCCCCATTTACTAGCTGGGCTGCCTCGGACAGGACACTTAAATTTGCTCAGCCACCATCACAGGTAGTATGACAATTTCAGGGCAGACCATCAACTATCGGGCTTTATGCTGTGTGGAAATTTCCTAGGCTAAAAGGTGAAAAACAATGACATATTCTCCCACATTTACAGGGTGAATACACATGACCTGGGTAGTTTAAAGAGCAAGCTTAGGAGAATCTTAACTGAGGTGGCGGTGAGGCAGGGCCAGACTGCTGCTAGAGAGACAGCAGAGAGAGCCTGGCCACAGGTACGAGGATCTGAGCAGGAAGCAGGGCTCTGCCACCAACAGGCTGCGTGATGCTGGACAGGTCCTCTGAGTCAGCTCCCTGAGGGGCCTGTAGTGACCACAGAACTAGCACTGCTATGGGAAAGGGCCCCTTGGAGCTGTGCAGCACAGTGGTTCTGTGTGAACTGAATCTGAACTCACTGTTTCTAAGGGGAGACATCTTCTAAGTTCTAAAAATAAACAGACAAATGACTTCTAGAATACTCATTCTACCTTTTCCAGGCTGTTATGAGAAATTCTAACAGCAAGATACTTCAAGATTCTTTGAAAAGGGAACTCTGCCATTTTCCTGCATAATCACTATCCGCTTGCCAAGTATCCCTCCCTGGGAATAAAATCTATTTCATGCCCAGCAGAAACCGGTGAGGAACAGACTCAGCAATAGATCCCTTACCCTTTTGATAATGAAAGATTTGACATTCCTGGATTCTGAGCCTTTGCAAATATACTCTGATTTTCTTTGACTCTTTTCTATACAAGGAGGAAAGCAGAGAAATAGGATGTGAGTAACCACAGGGTCTGTCCACTGCTGTGTGGTAATTATACCTGTGATTTTGCACTCAACCTGAGCAGCCAGATGACACACACACTATTAGTCTCCCTAGATTCCACCTGCGTTGCTGACTTTCTACAAATCCCCTCCTTATTCGATTAGACCACTTGAGCCAGAGAAGCGGTCAGGAGGAGTAGACAAAACACGGACTTTGAAATCAGGCTGGGGCAAATCCAGGACCTGCCACAGACATGCTGTGTGGCTTTCAGCAAGTTGTCCCCTTACCCCCAAGCCTGTTCTCGTATCTATAAAATATATTCAGTGGTACCTGCCTCACAGGTAGGGGGCATACTGAAGCTTTTACAAGGGGATATATAAGCAAGCACCTGGTGCAAAGTGTCCCATAGCAGGTCATCTTGAAATGGTATTGTCTCCCCTCCCTTCCTTGCCCAATGCCAAGAGGTCAGATTTAAGGTTCTTTCAGAAGAAGACAAAAATATCCTCATCTGAAACTCCAGATTCCAACTCAATTGTATTATAGAGACTAAAAAAACCAAACCCCACAAAAACACCATCAAGGTGATGAGAAAGGAGTTTTGCCTCTGTCTCCCGAGCTGCCGTGACTTTTCTCTCTTAAAGCCTTCTTCTCCACCTCAAATTTCTCAATTGCCTTCAAAAACCAAAAAGAAATGGGGCATTAGGGATTAGGGCAAATCTCAGAGAAAGGCAGGGGTCAGGGACTGGGCCATTTCTCCTGCTGATGTGTAAAAGGCCTGGAGAAAAGCTTGCGGCAGTGCCTTGCTGTCTCCTCACTACCTGGTAGGGCCTTGGTGGCCGTCAGTGTCACTGACCCCATCTCCCTGAGTGTCACCACTAATAGGTCTCCTACCCACCTTCTCCCAGGCTGTCCCTCCCCCTGTCTACACCTCTGAGGAGGAAAGGATTTGGAATGGGGTTCCAATCATGGCTCCATAGGTTATAAGCTTTTGTTTAATCTCTGTAAAAGGGGATAATAATACCTACCTTCCACTGCTCTTATAAGGATCAGATATAAGGAATTTAATGTGACTGTAAACTGATTATACTTCAATATAAACATATATATATACAAAAAAAGAGAGCTGGTTTCTAGCATTAGTAAAACCATTAATTATCTCCAGAGACCTTAGACAAGTCATTTAAAACAGATAATAGTGTCTGCACTACATACCTCAAAAGGTGGCTATGATGTGGATAAAGAGAGCTCAGATACAAAACTGTTCAGAAAATTTTAAGGTGTTACATAAATGTGAAACGTTTTGTCATGTTATGACTCTCGAGAAAATAAACATAGCTTATAATTGGAAAAAAAAAAGAATTGAATGTGTTTTAAAACACCAGTAGAGAGGCTATCAGATAGGAGCTGCTCAATAAACGGTAACGGTTATTATTATTAACCATCATACCCTTGACCTCTCAAGAGATTTCTCTTGATCTGATTCCTCCTCCCCCACTTCTCCTTAAAAGGAAAGGAAAATGAATGTCAGTGACCCAACAAGTTGCACTGATTATCAACCGTGAGCCCAGCACTGAGCCTGTATTACGAAGTTAATGAAGTATGATTCTGTGTCCTCGCCCTCAAGGAATTTACAGTCTATTCGGAGAAGGGATAGAGGGTGGGAAGGGATAGACTGGGATTTCAAAATTGTAGAATAGATAAACAAGATTACACTGTATAGCACAGGGAAATATACACAAAATGTTATGATAAATCACAGAGAAAATAAATAAATAAATAAATAAATAAATTTTTAAAAAGAAAAGAAAATGACTCACGAGCTCAACTGATCCCAAAAGTCAGTACTAGAAAAGCTGGGATGAGGGTGAAGCTAAAAATTGTGGAGCAAATCACCAGGTCAGGATGCTGGGGGCCAAGGAAGTTGGTGGAGAGCAAGATGCCAGGTGGTGAGAGATGAGGGGGGTTTGGTGAATTGAACAGCAGGAAGTGAAGAAGCAGGGCTAAGACAGACCAAGGAAGTAGAGAGAAGGGATGAGAAAGGAGGGCCAGGAGAACACAGGCCCTGAAGACCAGGCTAGGAGAGGACCCACAGAGAAGTTCCTCCCAGTCTACAGACCTGCACTGCCAGCAATGACTTGGGTTTTCATCTAGTCTGAGTCTCACTGTGTTTGGAACCATGGATGGTAATGTAAATGGAAAAAAAAAAAGTAATGTAAATGAGTGAAGCAGGCCAAGTGTAAGGCGATGTGGCAACCAACACTTTGCCTCCGTATGAGGAACAGTAGGGAGTGGTGGGGACTCTGGCGCCCTGGAGATGTCGTACTCTGATAAAGGGAGCCCCTGCTCTTCTGCACCAGCTGACGATGGCCACGTGGAAGTGCAGACGCAGCCAGGACTGCTCAGTCCAAAGGAAGCAAATGAAACTCATGAGAAGCCCAGACGTGGCCCACAGATTGCCAGAGTGGCCTCCCAGTGTAGATGAAAAACCTGCAGGTTAGAGAGCAAGCTTGCCTGCAGCACACAGGATCCCCCAAAGAGTAAATCTCCAGCATCATAACCCTCCTCCTCCCAGCCACCACGTGTTGGAGTGAGACAGGTCAGCTCATCGAGCCGTTAAGGGCCTGCCCGGCCTGAGCAGTGTGGAACTGGCCCTCTCAACAATACACCTGTAACCAGTGAGGGCAGGTCCTTGTTGTGACTTGTTGGTTTGTTGACTTATGTTGCTCTCATTTCAAACCTGTATATCTTGGAGATTTCTAGATTTATGCCTCAGATTTCCTAAGTGCAGTTAAAAATCAAATGCACTGTAGCCAAAGCCCAAGACAGCTAAACAGACATTCCAGATGATTCACGCTAGTGTTCCGTACACCACTACAAAGGCGGATACACGTCATTACACATTGTCCAGACTCACAGAATGTACAGCACAGAGAGAACCCTAATGTAAACACGGGCGGTGGGGGATACTGAGGT